CCTGACCTCGCTGCTGGTGCTGCTGACCACGGCCAACAACCCTGACGGTGCGTGAGCAGCGGGCTGGGCGGGCGTGGGCTGGCCAGCGGGCAAGGCGGGGAGGCCTGGTTCCTGCGGAGCCGAGAGCCGGGGTGTCCGAGGCCTCCAGCTCAGCAGGCGGAGGGAAGCAGGGTGACCTGGATCCCCCCCTCCCGCTTTCCTTCCTTTCTTGTTTTCCTTTCCCCCCTTTTCCTTTTTTCTACTTTTTCCTTCCCTTTTCATTTTACTTTCTTGTCCCTCCTTTTATAATTGTTCCCTGTCTCCTCTTTCCCCTTCTGTCCTGACTCCTCTGAGAAGCTAAAAGCTGTTCTTTATGTGGTGAGTAATGGCAGTGTCAGGGGGTCCCCCGCTGGCCTCTGGGGCCCCACCATTTCCCCAGCTGTGGGGTGCGGCGCAGCAGTTGTGTGTGTGAGGCCCCGGTTGTCCCTGGCCATGGCGTCCCCTTTGGGTTGCTGACGGGGCCTGTGTCTGCTTGGGCCAGGGGTGGCCCGGATGGTGGCTCTCGTCCTCTGAGGCCCGGCTGTGACCGGCCACCTGGCTGGTCTCTTCGTCTTGGACTCGGGGTGGTCACCACCACAGAGACCTTCCCAGGAGCGCAGCCCTTGGCTTCCACCCGCAGAGCAGTGCCGCGGGACTCGGCCCCGTGCCCACAGGTCCTGAGAGCCCGAGCCCGTCCCCGAGGGAGAGCTGGGCTCAGCCTGTGGGTGGTCGCAGGAGGCGGACGTCAGCTCAGCAGGAGGGGTGGGCATCCTGACGGTAGTGAGCTCCCCGTGACCAGGGGTGTGCGAGCGGAGGCGGGAGGGTCAGAGTTTGGACCAGGAGGCTCCAGCTCTCCCTGAGCAGAGCCCGCTCCAGAGAAGGCCAAGGGTCTGGGCCCGGCAGGAGCGGGACCAGAGCCGAGCTGTGAGCCTGTTTCAGTTTCTCTCATTTCTTCCTCAGTCATGGTTCCTGCGTACTCCAAGAACCGGGCCTTTGCCATCTTCTTCATAGTTTTCACCCTGATCGGTGAGTCTGGGTGGGTCTGAGGGGTCACTGGGGTAAAATTCTGTCCCCTCTGATGCTCAGGGGTAGGCGTGCATGACTTCACCTCGGGGCGGGGGGTCATGCCCTGTCTGCAGTCTGTGACCACTAAGACTGCTGTCCTCAGTGCCCACGCTGGGCAGGCCGGGTGGCACCTGCACTGTGTAGATGAGGACAGTGAGTGACGTGCCCAGGCCCTTTCCTGCTCTGCGATTGTCCGGGCCCTCTTTGCTGGCACCCCTGGGGTGCCCGTGTGACCCTCTGCACCTCTGGGCACTGCCCCAGGCCCCCTCAGCTGCTGCTCCTCACTGACCGAGGCGTTTTCTTCCTGAAGGAAGCTTGTTTTTGATGAACCTGCTGACGGCCATCATCTACAATCAGTTCCGGGGCTACCTGCTGGTGAGCGAGGCTGCCAGGCTGCCAGCCTGTGGGGGCCTGGCCAGGTCCCCGTGGGGGCAGGGTCCACAGTGGTCTCTGCACTGCCCTCTGGCTCCCTCTTGTGGATGAGCTGGAGCTGTGCCGCATCCTGCTCCTCTGAGGGAAGCGACAACATGACAGCTGCCAGGGCAATGGACTCTGGACCCTCCTGTGGGAGAGCCAGGACCCCCACTGCACGGGGAGGGAGCACATGCCCTAGGGACTGCTCAGCCAGTGCCCTTGGCTCCTTCCTGCGAAGCCGTGACTGTCCTGTGACTGTCCCGACCCGGGAGGCCCTCAGAGGCTGCGGGCTGAGGGCTGTGCTGTCCTGCTGGGCCGGGCCGGCCACTCAGAGGCACCCTCCTTGCAGAAATCTGTCCAGGCCTCACTGTTCCGGAAGCGGCTGGGCACCCGGGCTGCCTACGAGGTCCTCTCCTGGATGGCGGACAGAGAAGCCCGCCCTCAGAGGTGAGTGTGGGGCTCCCTAGGGAAGCGGGGCTCCCTGGGGGGGGCCATGGTGCGCACTGGGGCTGGAGCTAAGCATCACCCCGCGGGCTCCCTGCGGACTTGACAGCTCCCGGGGAACGCTGCCCGCTCCCCTCCTCACCCTGCCCGCCCCGTGCTCCGCTCTGCCTGCTCACCCACCACACCCTTCCCTCCCCACACACCTGGGCCCCAATCTGGGTGTTGGGAACAGAGGGATCTGGGCCATGTCCCCCTGTGCCTGGTTGGAGGCTGCCGTCACGCCCTGCCTCCCGCCTCCTCAGGGAGGACCTGACAGTGTCTTGGGATGTTAGAGGATGGCTGGATGCCCGCAGTTGCTCCTGTGGAGGCCTTGCCATCGCCCAGGGCTGCACGGTTCAGGCCAGAGGTTGGGCGCCCGGGGGACTGAGCTAGTGAGCGCACTGGGTGTGGGTGCTTTTTCCCCACAGAGTTGGGGTGAAGGCCCAGGACCTCCTGCAGGTGCTTCAGAAAGTCCAGGTGGACAGTACCCACAAGCAGGCCATCATGGAGGTACCAGCCCCCGCCCTCCCTGGCCTCCCGCCTTCCCCGGCCTCCCCGGCCATGCTCCTCCTGGTGGTCCCTGATCAGGATGGGTGTCATCTCAGAGCAGCTGGGGGGGGGGGCAGACCATCTGGGATGGTGGGGGGCTCACCTTGCTCTGGCCTTGGTCCGCTGACCGGCGCCTCCCTGCTTTGCAGAAGGTGCGCTCCCATGGTGATGGCCTGCTGTCAGCTGACGAGTTTCAGAAGCTGTTCAATGAGCTTGACAAAAGTCTGATGAAGGAGGTAACTGGCCAGGGCTCCCAGGGTCAGGGGGTGTGCAGAGGCGGGGGGCTTGGCCGCCTGGGGAACGTGGTGGCCGGTGCCGGGCCTGGCCTGCCCAGGAATTCCGGCCCCAGGACGGTGAAGGGACGGAGGTGGTTGGCTGTTGGAAGCTGGGAGGGTGGCTGCCCTCATGAAAGCCACCGAGGAGCCTTCCAAATGGCTTTCTGTCTCCATGACAAACATCCTCTTCCCCATGTCTGTCCACCGGGGCTCCGAGCTGTAAAGCCGTGGTCTTTGTCCTGACCTCATGGGTGAAACCCCCACGTGGGCCGCGGCGTCCTGCTCAGCACCATGTGCAGACGCCCCCCCTGCCTTTTATGTAGAGGGTTTCCTGGAGATGCTGGGGCTCAGAGGCCGTTCAGGGTCGGGGGGAGAAGGGGGTGTTGCTGGTCCAGCCGCTCGGTCTTTGAGAATGGGGTGTGGGCAGCAGGCAGCGAGGGAGTCCGACATCGGCTGGCCGGACTCCGCACAGCCCTGTGCCGCTGCTCAGTCAGCTCAGCGGCCATGACAAGTGCCCAGCTGGCGGCTCAACCAGCAGGGTTTACTGTCCCCGTCCTGGAGACTAGAGTCCAAGACCCAGGCGTACAGGGTCGGGGTGGGGTGGCTGGTCAACCACTTGGCCTTCGAGAATGGGGTGTGGGCAGCAGGCAGCGGGGGAGTCCGAGACCCGGGTGTCCAGGGCTGGTTCCTCCCCAGGCCTCCCTCCTGGGTGTGTAGACGCGTCTTCTCCCTGTGTCCCCACGTGGTCCCTCTGTGTGTGTCTGTGTCCTCACCCCAGTCCTGTGGGATTAGGGCCGCCTACTGACCTTCTATGTTAATACTCTTTAGAGCAGCGGCCGCCCACCTTTTGCACCTCACGGATCACCAGTGGTCCGCGGGCCACCAGTTGGCGACCGCTGCTTTAGAGAGCCTTTTTCTACGTACGGCACGTTCTGAGTGCTAGGGGTTAGGACTCCCACGTGGGCATTTCGGTGGGACACAATTCAGTCGGTGAAAGTTGTCAGCTTTGCATCATGCGCGGTCTCCCTCCGGCTCCTGTCAGGGCGGGTTCCTTACAGACGAGTTTCCTAAAGCCTTTCTAGGTCATTGATGGCTGCCTCCTGCATGTCCCTCATGGGGGTACAGAGCCCACAACCCGGGCATGTGCCCCGACCGGGAATGGACCGTGACCTCCTGGTTCCTCGGTTGACGCTCAACCACTGAGCCACACCATCAGGCTGTGTTTTATTTGATTGCCCGTGAACTCAGTAGCCCCGTGCAGTCAGTGGCCGCTGTGGGCCGGGGCGGGTGCGGGCATTCTCACGCTCCTCATCTCTGCGTCCCCGTCCGCTCAGAGGCACATTGAGGCGGTCAGTTCCTGTCACTCCTGGTGCTACATGAGGGACCCACACCTCTTCCCAGTGTTTCATGTCCGTGTTTACTGCCAAATTGCCCTCCATCACTTCCCACCCCGGTCTCTTGCTCTGCGCCATGTTTTTGTATTTCTCAGCATAGAGTTTATCTGTGTTTTTCACATAACGCTTTTCACATCGTGGCGAACACTTAAGATGGCTGCGTGCTGTTTTGTTGTGGTTCCTTACGGTGCCAGGCACGCTCAGGGCACTGCTGCCTCTGTTGTTACAAAGACTGTGATGGTGTCTCCGTGGGAGGGACCGTGCCAGGGTTTGTGATGATTCCCGTGGGCTAGTAGATGGGCAGGGATTGGGGAGGGACGTCGGGTCCCAGGATGAGGGGCACGGCCCTGATTCTGAGCATGTGTCCCCCCAGCACCCGCCACGGCCCGAGTACCAGTCCCCGTTCCTGCGGGTTGCGCAGTTCCTGTTCGGCCACCGCTACTTTGACTACCTGGGGAACGTCATCGTCCTTGCGAACCTCGTGTCCATTTGTGTGAGCACAGGCGTGCCCTCGAGTGGCCCCGGGAGGTGTCTCGTTCCTGGGTTCCTGGCCCTGCCCGCCGACAGCCGACCATGGCCTTGCGGTCGGCCCAGCGCTGGGCCCGGCTGCGAGCCTTTCCCTCCGGCTCTGCAGGTGTTCCTGGTGCACGACGCAGGTGTCCAGCCCCAAGACCGTGACGACTTCATGCTGGGGGTGAGCTCTGAGGCCGCTCGGCTGTCCAGCTCGGCTGGGGCTCCGGGTCTGCTGGAGGAGGGCCATTCTAGTTCCGAGGGACTGGTGTCATGGGGCCCCTGGAGTTGGGGGTGGCAGGCCGTGGGTAGAGGCCGGTGCAGACCGGGAGCCAGGTGCAGAGGCCCCGGTGAGCGCAGTGTAGTCAGCCTAGCAGGGCGGACAGCAGAGGGAGGGTCGGGGAGAAAGAGGGACCCGAGGGGGCAGCTGGGGCTTGAGACCGAATGGCCAGGGGGAGCCGGGGAGGCCAGCGGCACTGGGACTGAACGCGGGCACCTGCGGCCCCTTTCAGATTCTCAACTGTGTCTTCATCCTGTACTACCTGGCGGAGATGCTGCTCAAGGTGTTCGCGCTGGGGCTGTCGGGGTACCTGTCCTACCCCAGCAACGTGTTCGACGGCCTCCTCACCGCCATCCTGCTGGTGAGTCTGCGGGCCGGTGCCGCCTCCCTGGGCGGGCAGTGGGCGCTCGCACTGGGGACCTGAGGGCCACTGTCCTGGGGCTCCTGCCTCCAGGGACCAAGGGGCTGGCTTTCCCCAGTGAGCTGCTTGGCGGGAATTTATCATACCCTCTTGTACAGCATAAGGAAATGGGCAAATAGTCTGCAGTGTCTGAGCATGGGGCGGGGCCGGGGGGGTGTCAGGCTGCCTCTCCTGACCCCTGGGGGAGGCCCAGATGGAGCCCACAGACCCCCCTGGTCACCCCCGCCCCAGGCACAGCCTCTAATGCCACTCATAACAGTGAGATGACGTGGGTGGAGGGGGGAGGTCTGACATGTCCCGTCGCTTTTCCCCAGAGCAGCAGGTGGTGGGGTCGCCCCGTGGGTCACAGCGAAGTTAGTGCAACACGTGCTCCTGTGTGACTGCTGAGAGCCGTGTGGGGCTCATTGGAGAAAGGCCTCCAGCCGTCTTTGACCAAGTGGCTCCCCCCCGCCCCCCCACCCCGTCCAGCCTTTCCCTTGCCCGCCCTCACGAGTGTGACCCCGATCCTGAGACCACAGTGCCCTTCTCAGCCTCGGGAAGTCCCAGCCTGGAACCCACCCGTGGGGACAGGACCGAGCTCCGACACTCCCCGAAGCCCCCTGTGGGGACGCCTTGCTCGGCTAGTTTAGATTTTCCGAGAGCCGCCCGGGTGAGCGTTGCTGTAGCGATGCCTTCTCTTCTTTTGTAATTAAAGGTTCTGGAGATCTCAACTCTGGCTGTGTACCGATTCCCACACCCAGGCTGGTATGTGACTGGCGAACCGAGGGCGGCTACAGCAACCCGCCCGGCTAGCACCCGGGAAGGGTTGCCCACCGTCCCGCTGGGACTCACGGGCGACACACCCGGTTGTTAGGAAAGGGGGCTCCCGGCCCCGCCCCCTGAGGGCCTTTCACGTTTTTTGACTCACCGTCAGGACGTAGTGCGCAGAGCGCTGGCAGGAGGCTGTCGGTGCCCCTCTAAGGCAGTGGGCCCAGCCTGGCATGGGCGGACGTGTGGCCCAGGGGTGCTGGGCCGGAGCAGGGAGGCCCCAGCTCAGGGCTGGGTGACGTGGCCACTGGCATTGGGCGCAGCCCTCCTCTGGCTTGGGAGGCCTGTGACTTTGGGCTGGGCAAAGTCTACCTCTCCACATGGCGATGGGCGGGGCCTGGGGCTCGCCGATCTCACATTGCTGTTGGAGCCCCAGGGCCCCTGGTTCTGGCCACACAGAGGGATGAGGGGGCAGGGTCCCAGGGTATCATGCCATGTAGCTGTGGCAGCCTCGGGTCATGCTGCCCAGAACACAGCCGCCCGGCAGGCACACGTGCTGGCCTCAGGCCCTGGGCGGCTCTGGTCTCTGGGTCCCTCTTCGGGCTGAGCAGCTGGGAATTGCTCTCGGTGGAGAACGGGCCTGAAGGGCTTGCTGTTTGGGGTCAGCTCTGCGGGAGCCGCTGGGAGGGTTGATTCGGGAAGTCGCTGGGCTGATGCTGTCCTTGGAGCCTGAGGGGCTGGGCCCGGGGTGACAGGTGCTTCATGAGGGCCAGCTCTCGGGTGTCTAATGTGTCCTTTTGTCTGAGAATTACGGGGCTGACATCCTGGTGAGCGTGGGTTTAAATTTAAATAGAAAGGAGGGCATGGTGAGGCCATGAGGGACACGAAGGGCCGGGGATGGGACAGGATCAAGGGCCGGGAGATGGGGTTAGAAGAAGGGGTCAGGGTAGGGCATGTGGTTAAGGCTCGGGGGATAAGGTCAGGAGCTGGTGGGCAAGGGAGAGGGTCAGGAGACGGACAGGGTGGAGCCGGGAGATGGCGTTGGAGGGAGGGGTCGGGATAGGACGTGGTTAGGGGTTAGGGTAGGGTCAGGACAGGGTCAGATCAGGAGACAGGGTCAGGTGATAGGACAAGGTCAGGGGCAGGATATAGGGTCAAAGGAAGGGGTCAGGGAATCGGATACATAGGAGTCAGGGCTGGGGAAGGGGCCGGAGGTAGGGATGTGAATGTGGGTTGTGGGGTAAGGGATGGAGCCGGGCCAAGTCGCCTAGTTCTGCTGGGGCCTGAGCTGAGTGTCCGGGGTCTGGAACCTCAGAGGTGTCCCATGTAAGACGGAGGGTCAGCTGGTCGGGCGCTGTGCGGGGCGGTGCTGTGGACGGTCCATGACCACTCTGCCCTCGGTCTCGGTGAGGGTTCTGGCTGGAGACCGAGACGGGCAAGTTCTTGTTGCCCCCCTCACTCTCTCTTACTCTCCCCCTCACTCTCTCTCGCTCTCCCCCTCACTCTCGCTCTCCCCCTCGCTCTCTCCGCATCTGCCTTTCTCCGTTTTCAACCACGAGTGTCCAGTTGCTGGTGTCCTGGCCTCACCCGACCCATCTCCCGTGTGTCTCTCCAGGAAGCCGGAGCTTCGGGGCCTGCTGTCGCTGTGGGACATGGTTCGCCTGGTGAACATGCTCATCGTGTTCCGGTTCCTGCGCATCATCCCCAGCATGAAGGTCCGTGGGCCCTGCCTCCCCGCCCCTCGCCGCCCCGTCCTGCTCACACTGCTTCTCGTTCCCTGGAGAGGGGGAGCCTGGGCAGGGAGGGACCAGACCCTGCGGTGTGCCCCGCCCCTCACCTGGCTGGGGGTGAGGCGGAGGCCAGCACGGTGGGACTGTTGCAGGGGAGCGTCCAGCTCGTGGGGCCCTGGCAGGTGTGAGGGCAGGCGGAGCCCTGGGACCACAGGCTCCCAGGGCCCCGAGGTTTCTGAGCGGCTTCTGGCAAGGGCTCCTCAGTGGCTCCTGGGCGCGAGAGCAAAGGTAGGCTTGACCACAGCGCTCACTTCCAGGACCCCAAGTGCAAGGATGGGGGGCTTGTGAACATCTCCGAGCCTCGGTGTCTCTCAGGGTCCCCACCAGGAATGACATCAGCCTGGAGGGGCGGGAAGGAGGTGGGCAGCGGCTCAGGCCCAGCCCAGCCCAGCCCAGCACGGAAGTGGACTTTACTGCTCCGTCTGTTTTCCCAGGGACGTTTCGGGGGAAGAGACACTGAGGACACCAGCCCCTTTCTGTGTGTCCGGGGCCTCCCCTGCACCGGGGCTTCCACCTAAGGGCAGCTCAGGATCCTGGGCGCAGGCGGGGCTGCTGCCCCGAAGTCTCTGTGCATGCCACACAGGCATGTGTGATCACATGTTTGTGTGAACACACACATACCCACATAAGTCATATGACCACATACGACTACAGCCTACACATTTACACATGCAACTACACACATGTAATTAGTCACACAAGGTAACCACACATAAACACACATAATAACATGATTATACACATGCCATCACAGACAATTGTATACACATACATACCCAGAAATGCATGTGCATGTAACTAACACAATCACACGCAACACACATGCAATCACACACTCGTACACTATACACAAATACAACTATATGCACAGACACACAAATTGCATACACACAAGCCCCACACATGTGCACACATATATATACACATAGTCATGCACATGTGCACATGCACACTGGCTTCCCCTGCCAGCATCCAGCTATGATATTCTAATGTATCAGCTGGGAAATGGGGCTCAGGTTCGTGTGGGTGGGGAGCAGCCATGTAGCCGGGGTTCCTGGCTGCGTCTCTGAGGCCCTTTCTCAGACTTGGTCCCTAGGGGCTGACCTGGGAGCCTCCAGACCAGAGGAGCTGCCTGGCCTCAGCGGCTGGAGGGCAGCACCGCCTTTCCTGCACGCGTGCCTCACTGCGGGGACTTGGAGCCCAGACCCAAGGCGGGGCGGGCAGAGTGTCTGGATCTGTGGGGGCGAATGGGTGCCTATGGCTGTCTAGTGTGTACAGCTGTGTGTGTGTACCACTGTACAGGTGGTGTGTGTGCGTGTGCGTGTGTGTGTGTGTAGGGGTGGCTGTGGGGTGTGTGCACAGGTGTGTGTGTATGTGTATATGTGGGGGGGTGTGTGCACAGGTGTGTGGGGTGGTGCTAATTCACCTGCCCTTGCAGAGGGGGGTGATGGGCAGGGTTGGCGCCCCCCAGTGAGACCAGGAGGAATAGTGGCTCTGCTCTCTCCCTGCCCTCAGCTGATGGCCGTGGTGGCCAGCACCATCCTGGGCCTGATCAGAAACATGCGGGCGTTCGGCGGGATCCTGGTGGTGAGTCTGCGCCATGGGGCCGGGGGTGGGGGGTGGGCACTCAGTGGGAGTTGGGCTGTGGGGGGTGAGCTGGGGGGAAGCACCAGGGCAGGAGGCCAGAGCGGCCCCTTCGTGCCAGACAGCTTTTCAGTCACTTTCAAATCCCTCCTGTTCTCTGGGCCATCAGCTCTGCCCGGGCCCAGCCTGGTCAGGGGCCTGCTGCTGCCCCAGGCACAAGGCCGTGGCCGGGACTGGTGACGGTGCCGAGTGGAGAGCCTGCTGCGCAGATGGTGCCACTGGTGGCCTTTTTGTCCTTTGTGTTGAACAACAGCCTGGGGATGGGGAGCCCAGGCCCTCCAGGAGGCTAGAAATAGGATCTTGCATCAGGCCCCATCCCAGACCCCTATTTGCACATTGGAGGAAACTGAGGCATAGGAGGGGCCTGGGTTAGTCCAGAGTGTGCACCGCTCCCCAGTCCGCCTGGCACCTTCAGGAAGAAGCTGGGTGGTGCTCCTTGGACGCCCCCTGGTGGATGTGGGAAACATGGTGGGACTTCTGCCTGGAGAGGCCTGATCTTCCCCTCCCTTCCCTGGGACCAGCTTCTCCCTGGCCCAGCTTCCCCCTGGGTTCAGCTTCTGGGCCCAGCTTCTCCTGGGCCCAGCTTCTCCCTGGCCCAGCTTCTGCCGGCACCAGCTCCTCCTGGCCCAGCTTCTGCCGGCACCAGCTCCTCCCAGGACCAGCTCCTCGCCCTGTTGTGGAGTCCTCCTCGTCACTCTCCCTGCCACGCTGGTCCTTACGGGGCAGGCAGCCTTCACTTCCTTGGCCTCCCCCTGGGCCCCAGTGTATCTGTGGGGCTCCCCGGTGATGACTCCTCCCTTCTCCCCTTCAGCCACTGTCCTGTGCCTCTGGGGCAGGTGGGTGGCCAGGAGGGGGTGTCTGGAAGTAGAGGCAAGTATTGTGGGGGGTAGCAGCGCCCATAGTTGGGGGCCATGGCCAGGCTGGGAACCCTCACAGGCCAGCCTGGCTCTGTCCTCCTTTGGGCAGGCTGCCCCCGCTGACCGAGCCCTGCCTCCACAGGTGGTGTACTACGTCTTTGCCATCGTTGGCATCAACCTGTTCCGGGGGGCCATTGTGCCTCCTCCTGGAAACATCAGGTGAGGTGGGGCCTAAGGTGCCGAAGGAGCACTGGTGGGGGGTGGGGGGGGACAGGTGTAAGGACAGGTGTGAGGCCTTGGCAGCGTGTGGGTCAGCTCTCCAAGAGGAGTCTCCTGCTCTTTCTCTTTCTTCCCTCCCCCTGGACCCCTGGCCTAGGGTCTGTGCTGACTGTTGCGATATCTGCTCAGAGCAGCCCTCCCAACCCCTGTTGGACCTTGAGCTCCTCCACTCAGCCCCCCTAGGCTCCCCCCATAGACTCCCCGCCGAGGCCCCCCACCGGGCCGGTGCTGGCAGGGCTGTGAGTGTAGAGCTGACCGCTGGCCACAGCTCTTGCCTCCCAGCTGCCCTCACAGACCCTCCGGAGGTCAGGGGCATTTCTTCTGCCTGTTTCTGGGGGCCCAGAGAGGGTTCCATGCTGTGCAGGGGCTAAGGTGGTGTAGGGCACGCCTGGTGTGCATGTCCTACACCCCACCTGACCTGCCTGTGTCCCAGCCTGGCTCCTAATGGCTCGGCGCCCTGCGGCAGCTACGAGCAGCTGGAGTACTGGGCCAACAACTTCGACGACTTTGCGGTGAGTCCCTCCCTCTTGCTTCCCGGGACCCCGGCCCCCGTCCTCCCGCACCCTCCTTGACCGTGCCCGTTGCCCACAGGCCGCCCTGGTCACGCTGTGGAACGTGATGGTCGTGAACAACTGGCAGGTGTTCCTGGACGCCTATCAGCGCTACTCGGGCCCGTGAGTGGCACCCTTGCCCGGGACTCTTGGTGGCAGCTGGCGTCGCTGGGGATGTGTGGGAGCCGCACAGGCCCTGGAAACACCTGGGGGGTTCTTTGGGTGCCTGGGGGTGCTGGTGGGCGTCTGGGAGGGGAGCCTGGAGGGAGCTGGGTGGAGGAGGGGAAGTCTGGGGGGAGCAGGGAGGAGGAGCTCAGCCTGGAGTGCAGCCCAGCCCCACTCCACCTCCTGCTGGCCCTGCCACCTTGGGCAGCTCATTGTCTTGGCTTCTGGGCATCTCTAAAGTGGGAGGACGTCACGGGGTTACCAGGCAGGACCCAGCGAGAGCTGCCCCAGACTTGCGGGTCCCAGACTCGTGGCGGGGTCTGTGCTCCTCCAGGGTCTCACTGTGCTCACGGTGGGCCTGCTTGAGCCACCTCCTCGTCCTCTGCAGGTGGTCCAAGATCTACTTTGTGTTGTGGTGGCTGGTGTCGTCTGTCATCTGGATCAACCTGTTTCTGGCTCTCATTCTGGAGGTACAGGGGGAGTCCGGGGGGCTTCGGGCGGCCCTGGGCTCAGTGCAGCTCACCTGATGCTGGGAGTCGGGTTACAGCCCTGACATTGGACTTGAGGGTGTCCTCAGGGCCCCGGGGGACATGTGGCTCCCAGGAGCTGGTGGCCTT